AGATGCTGAATAAGCATCTGACAAAATTCAACATCCATTCATGATGAAAACTCTCAACAAAATGGGTATAGCGGGCAAGTACCTCAACATAATAAAGGCCATATATGACAAACCCACAGCCAACATTATACTTAACAGCGATAAGCTGAAAGCAATTCCTTTAAGATTGGGAACAAGACAACGATGCCCACTCTCCCCACTTTTATTCAACATAGTACAGGAGGTCCTAGCCACGGCAATCAGATAACACAAAGAAATAAAAGGCATCCAGATTAGCAAGGAAGAAGTCAAACAGTCCCTGTTTGCAGATGACATGATATTGTACATAAAAACGCTAAAAAAAATCCACTCAAAACTACTAGATCAAATATCTGAATTCAGCAAAGTTGCAGGATACAAAATTAATATACAGAAATCTGTTTCATTCTTATACACTAATGATGAACTAGCAGAAAGAGAAATTAGGAAAACAATTCCATTCACAATTGCATCAAAAAGAATAAAATACCAGGGAATAAACCTAACCAAGGAAGTGAAAGACCTAAACACTGAAAACTACAAGACATTCATGAGAAATTAAAGAAGATACCAATAAATGGAAACACACCCCATGCTCATGGATAGGAAGAATTAATATTGTCAAAATGGCCATCCTGTCTAAAGCAATCTACAGATTCAATGCATCCCTATCAAAATACCAACAGCATGCTTCAACGAACTAGAGCAAATAGTTCTAAAATTCATATGGAACCACAAAAGACCCCGAATAGCCAAAGCGATCCTGAGAAGGAAGAATAAAGTTGGGGAAATTACCCTCCCTGACTTCAAACTCTACTACAAAGCCACAGTAATCAAGACAATTTGGTACTTGCACAAGAACAGACACATAGACCAATGGAACAGAATAGGGAGCCCACATATAAACCCAAGCATATATGGTCAATTAATATATGATAAAAGAGCCATGGACATACAATGGGGAAATGACAGCCTCTTCAACAACTGGTGTTGGCAAAACTGAACAGCTACATGCAAGAGAATGAAACTGGATTATTGTCTATCCCCATACCCAAATGTAAACTCAAAATGGATCAAAGACGTGAATGTAAGTCATGAAACCATAAAACTCTTAGAAGAAAACATAGGCAAAAACCTCCTGAATAGAAACATGAGCAACTATTTTCCTAATGCATCTCCTTGAGCAAGGGAAACAAAAGGAAAAATGAACACATGGGACTACATCAAAACTAAAATTTCTGTACAGCAAAGGATACCATCAATAGAACAAAAAGGCATTCTACAGTATGGGAGAATATGTTCATAAATGACGTATCTGATAAAGAGTTGACATCCAAAATACATAAAGAACTCATATACCTCAATACCAAAGAAGCAAATAAACCGATTAAGAAATGGGTGGAGGATATGAACAGACAGTTCTCCAAAGAAGAAATTCAGATGGCCAATAGGCACATGAAAAGATGCTCCACATCGCTAATTATCAGGGAAATGCATATAGAAACAACTATGATATATCACCTCATGCCAGTTAAGATAGCCAGTATCAAAAAGATTAAGAACAACAAATGCTGGCAAGGATGTGGAGAAAGGGGAACCCTCCTACACTGCTGGTGGGAATGTAAGCTATTTCAACCATTGTGGAAAGCAGTATGGAGGTTCCTCCAAAAACTAAAAATAGAAATATCATTTGACCCAGGAATTCCACTCCTAGGAACTTACACAAAGAACATAATTTCTCAGATTCAAAAAGACATATGCACCCCTATATTTACTGCAGCACTATTTCCAATAGCCAAGATATGGAAACCACCTAAGTGTCCATCAGTAGATGAATGGATAAGGAAGATGTGGTACATATACACAATGGAATATTATTCAGCCATAAGAAAGAAACAAATCCTACCATTTGCAACAACATGAATGGAGCTGGACGATATTATGCTCAGTGAAAAAAGCCAGGTGGAGAAAGACAAGTACCAAATGATTTTCTGAAGCAAAACTGAAGGAACAAAACAGCAGCAGATTCAGACTCCAAGAAGGGACTAGTGGTTACCAAAGATGAGGGGTAGGGGAGTGTTAGTTGGGAGGGAGGGAGAAGGGGATTGAAGGGTTTTATGATTAGTACACTTGGTGTGGTAGAGGATCATGGAGAAGGCAAATAGGAACTCTGTGGCATCTTACTACACTAATGGACAGTGACTGCAGTGGGTTATGGGGTGGACTTGATAATGTGGATGAATGTAGTAACCACATTGTTTTTTCATGTTAAACTTACAAAAGAGTGTATATCAATAATACCTTAATAAAAAATGAAAAAAGAAAAGACATCTAACTCTTTCTCTAAGATCACTGTCTAGAAGCCATTTAATCACCATGTAGAAGAAGGCTCTCTGAGAACAAAGCAACATAGATATAGGCAGGTATTAAAGAAGAAATGGTGAGAAAGAAACATACACATAGTACTGGAAACATAACCCAAGCCTCTGAATGCAGCTGTGTTTGATTCAGCACAAATCTTTGACTTCTCACTTACATGAGCAAATAACTATTTTCCAAGTTATTTTGAGTTAAGAGTTATTTTTTTGTGCAAATAAAATAATCCTGATACAAAGGTATCGACATTAGTATGTATTCACCAAACTGAATCAGATGCCATATCATTCCTATAAACTCAAGAAACGTCACAATTCTTAAGCTATTATATCTGCCTACTCAATGGGGAATATTAATTTTCCATTATTAGCATTTCCAAACTTACAATTACCAAGAATTATCTTTAAAGATCAAACTCCTTGCGAAGGCTTCTAGTTTTCCAGAGTCAAAGTTAACGAATGCATTACTTATATTTCATTTTTTTAAATATTCACATAATATTTATTGAGTCCTTATTGTATATGCCAGGTAGGCATAGTCAGCATTATTTATTTTAATGGCCACTTCACTTCTATGAATTATATACTATTACTATTATTGTACTATTATAACCTTCATTTCAAATGTTAATAGGAGAGATTATAATAATGCATCTAACCATAGTAGTAGTATTGCTAAACAGTTATGAAGAGGGTACTATGTCCCACACACTGTACTAAGCGTTTTACAAGAAGTATCCCATTTAATCCTCACAATTATCTTCGGAGTTAGGAACTATTATCGCCATTCTATGGATGAAGAAACTGAGGCTTAGAGAAGGAAATGCAGAGCCAAGACCTGCATTCCACATCACAATTGGTCCACAACCTTTACAAACATTCCACACTGCATCCCAATAAGTTACATATTATCTAAAGTGCATTTCAAGTTGCTTAATAATAGAAACCTGATCTCATCAACATTATTTTTGTTCTTGAACTGCCATGCCATGTGATTTACATTTTTATTTTCCTCTTTAATTTCTCATCTCTGGAATAAGTAAAGATATATATTAAAGGAAATACATATTATTTACTGTAGCTCAAAAAATAAAACAGTAGCACTGAATTATGAATTAACTATTTTTATTAACCATTTCAAAAGTAGGTAGGAAAAATCTATTTCAAAGTTGTATGATGTTACCAAGCTATTACTATACTGTGACGTCCTGTTGTGGGAAAAGCCTGTCCCTATTGTGAGGAGACATTTCAGATTCTTAAAAATGCTTCCCTACTAGCAAATACCCAAAGCACATCTTTCAAAAATCACATTTTGTACAAAAACTATTATATTTACCTGCATACCTACATATTATACAAACTACACATACATACTCGTGTGTAAGAAATGCAATAAAAATATATTTATTAACAGTTTATCACTGATAAAGCTCCACATGACAACATTTTATAACTTTCTCCTGTAGACAACAATTTCCTTACCTCAAGTGTCAAAAGTATTCTTACTGTATATATTCATTATCAGGAGTCTCCTTGAAACCAACTGCAGAAGCAGAGAAGAAAAAAGAGACAAGAAACTGGCCCTACCAACCACGCCCTTACAGAGTAAGCTCCAATCAGTCAAGACAGGCTCCCCGGACTGACAGCAAGGTCACACACGGGCTACGCGCTTCGTAAACTGCGCCTTCCTGAACCAACTAGGAGAAGTCGACTCCTTTGGAATATAATTAGGTCTCGTTCCTAGAGTGTGGAAATTAATTTTTTTTTAATGAGAACAGGATATTTTCATTAGTTGAATAGAGAGAAGGGAGCATTTGGTAAAACTGCCGTTCCTGAACACCTGCTGAGCTGACCCAGACTGCAGCCCAGGCCCGACGGAAGCCGTGGTCAGGAAAGCACATCAGCGCGTGGCACACAATCCAATGTGATTTGTTTAATTCATAAAAATGTCTTTAATGGTGACACAAGGCATACACTTTTTAACTCTATTTACTTTTGTTCTATAAAAGTCACAGTGTTGCCTGAATTATACGGTGTCATTTTAGAGTTTCACACAGTTGCACTGGGTGCTCTCGGTAGCCCTACTACGCATTTGCTGTGTGAGCAGTGAAGCAAAAGGAAAAAGATAACCCATTTCTGTTCATTAATACTCATTACTTGTTCTGCCACCAATCCTCCCAAGAAATATTCTGTTTGTAACTAAACAATTTCCATTCTAAGAGTTCAGTGGTAAGGAAAATTTCTGTCCATTTCTATTATTTCAAAGTAAGGCCAGGAAAAGTCCCCATTTCATGTCCTAGTACTCTTGTAATTTCGACCTTGAATAATAAACCTTCTCTCTCCAGCCACACCTTTACATCTTCATAACCTCAGAGTCTTGGGCATTGAAGAAAACAGATAAAGTTCTAAATGGATATTTACCAAAAGGACTGAGATTCATTTGGGTCCCTATGCACTGTAGTAGTTATTGCCTCTGTCTCTAGACCTCTTGTACAGTGAGTACAAAAATAGGACACCAAGACCCTGAGTCTATCATTGGACCTAGTTTGACAGAAGCATCCTGGCCATCCTACACTTCGCTGTGCGAGTGCAGCACATGGGACTTACTGGGGAAGTAAGACATCTCTGATAAGAGTCAGAAGATTGCTGTGAGAATCAGCCTTCGCCTCCTTGCCATCCTCGACCTCCTGGTTCACGAGGAGAGATACGGTTTCTGAGAGCAACCGCAAGCTGAAGAGTCTCCACTCCACTTGAAAGAAAACAAAATGCCAAGAATGTGACTACACAGAGATAGAATGAAAACAGAATTGTGACTGCAGGGATTCTCACTGATGAGGTCACACTTACCATTTTGGCTTTGAACCAAGGAGACCAAGGGTGGCAGAATATAATCAACAACCTAAAAGAAAAGGTAGAAAAGACTTAGTTCAAGTCTCTATAAATACAAAACCGAAATCAACCATTATCTATGCTTTTTCCATTGACAGAAAAACTAATCAAAGAAGTGAAGAAAATCAACAGCAAAATTTATCCTGGATTTAAATTCTGCATGACATCAATTTAAGCTCATTTAACTCTGAAAAAGTCCTCCAGTCAAAACTACATTTTGATCATCAAAACAGTAATTTATTAAAACCTTCAGCATTTATGAAAGGAACTTCAGCATATATTACAAAACCTAGTTGGCACGGGTTGACATAAAACCATCAAATTAATATATACTGGTGATTGTTACTCAAGGTTAAACGACAATTGAAATGTTGGGGGAAAAGGAGACATATAATCCTCATGTTTTATCAAAGCTATGACAAGTTAATCTTGGTTATTTTTAGAAACAGATTCAAAAGAACAAATCCAATATGCAGATCATCTCTATCTTCCTTATCACATCAGAGTACAACCATATATGTTTTAAAACCTACTCCAAAATAGTAAGTTTCTTCCCCCAAATGAAAATGGACAATGAAGAACAAATCATTTTTCTCAGCCTAATTTTGATACCTACTATCTTATTTGATGAACTATTTAGGCAACAATAAACAAAATTCCTATTGTTTACAACTGAATTTATCACTGATCCTAAGATGCTTATTTGTTCTCTCCACACTGACCGATTGGCAGGAGAAGTTGTTCACAGCCTGACACTACCATCTTGCTATGTAAACCACAGAAACAATGCCCTGCATAAGTAAGAATGTCCATGGGTAGTGGCCCATAGTGTTAAACTGTTTTGGGTCCATTTCACATAGTTTAGTTCATATGTAATATTATCTCTAGATACTTGTACAAGCACCCTAAGAACCAGAGATGTTTTGTTTACCTTCTTCCATTAAGTGATACAAAGCATACATATCGTGCTGTACTAAAGAATTCTGAGAACTCTAAACTGCCAGTTATGTCAAAAGCAAAAATATGCAAGGTGAAAATATACCACACTATCAACACCTATCAACATGATCAACACCTACCTTAAATGTTTAAGAGAACATATTAAGAGAGGAGTGGGACTGAATAAATTATCTAATAAGGTTCAACTGAAGAAGTCTGAAAAACAACAAGCAAGCATGGTCAAAACAGCCAGAGTATCAGACAGAAGATGAATAGACAAAAATCAATAGTATTTCTACATGCTTACAACAACAAATTAAATAACATAATTGGAAAAAGATGCCATTTACAACAGCAATAAAATTCTAAGGTGTCTATGGTATCATGGCTTTTACAGAAAAAAGTATATATTTATAGGCATGATATCCATTGATAGAGTTCTGAAGAAAAGCTTGAAAGTATCACAACCATCCTCACAACAAGAAAAAAGCTGAACTGAAAATCAACATCTCTTCTCAGACGTATCAGAGAATTGAAGTCACAGGGTAAACCGTTGCCCCAAAAACTGAAGAGAAGGGCAAATACAGAGAATCACAGCTTAAAAGGAGCAGAAACCACCACTGGAGCAAGCAACTGATATAAAAACTTAAAGGGTAATGACTAATTGCTAGAGCCTGAGCTTGAGAGAGAAAAATTCCTGGAGGCCCAGCCTTAGTGAAGCCTCGACTCCCAGGAATTCACCTTCCAGAGCCCCACCAGATTCTCAGGGTGAGAGTCAGAGAAAAACCCCTCATGCTTCTGGCAGAGAGAAAGGTAAATTAACCATTTTGGGAAACATGCAAAGAACGCTCATTTCTTCTTAACAAAGGCCTGGACTGAAGGGACACTATTTTACCAGAACTCAACAGACCTGAGGGAAAAAATATCCAACATCAGCAAACTCAGAGCCTTCCTGTGTCCCCTACGGAGGTGGAAAAAGCAAAGAAGCACTTGTGAAGGTCACAACCCAGATGCACAGGCTCACAAAAAGGATGAGACCTAATCACAGATCTGTGGAATGCCTTCCCTCCTCACCGTGCCTGACCGCAGCATCAACAGGGCTCCTGCACAGTAACATAGGACTACAACTGAGAGACATGTAATATACAGGCTTTATCTAGAAGGAGTCATTAGGGAAACCCAAAGATAACAGGAGAGACAAAAACAAGGACTCTAGAGGGATATAACTTCTGAAACCTACAGCTACACAAACAGTAAACACAGCCTGACTCCTAGCCAGACAAACATAAAATGTCATACAAACAACCCCTTCATCTCAGTTCATTTTACCTGATATATCATATATCAAGTGAATATTTAAAGTGTTCAGAGAAAAAAAACAAACACTACTCTAGCATTCTGAGTGAAATTCTACCTCAAAGGTAAAAGAGAAATAGTTTCTTATACAAAGAAAAACTGAAGAAAATTTTTGCCAGTAGACCTGCCTTGAAAGAAATGTTAAAAGAAGCTATTCAGAGAGAAGGAATGTGACATAGGTCCAAAACGCACATCTGTGTGTCAGGGAAGAAACACACAAAGGTAAAGCAAAGCCCCTGATGAGAAGACTCAGAGAGGCCACCTCTCCGCATATTGATCTGTAATTCCAATATAATACAAATAAACATCCCAGCAAGCAAGGTTTTCATGGATTCCTCATATTGATTCTATAACGTACTTGCAAAGTAGCAGGTCAAGAATAACCAAAAAGTTTCAATAAAGCATCAGGCAGATCTGCGTCACCCTTTCGAGTTTCCAGGTTTACTGTGATGGAAATAAAATGGGACAAGCACGGGGCCAGACAGAGAGACTCACGGAGTACAGAGTCCAAACACAGACCAGTCGGGGGCTCAGTAAGGGGCAGAGGGGAAACACAGATTACTCATGGAACGGTATAAGTACAGTTAGCTATTTGGCAAAAAGTATCAAAGAATGAGAAAAAATAAAATAGTTACAGGAAGCTTAAAGATCTAACAGTTAAAAGCTTTTAAAGGAAAATATGAGAGAATAGCATTGTGGTAAAGGAGGAAAGAATTTTTTTTAATGATACCTAAACAGCACAAACTAAAAGGAAAATGCTAATTATTTTGACAATAAAATGAAAAACATTTGTATAGATGAGTCTCCATAAACAAAATGAAAAGAATCTGATCTATTGGCTAGAGAAAGTTCTGAAATCTCCATACCTGACAAAGATCAATATGCAGAATACATTTAAAAAATTCAATTTGAAAAAAACATACCCCAAAACTGGATAAAAGATACAAGCAGGTGGTTCCAAAAGTGGAATACCCAAATAGACAATAAACATATGAAAACTATCCAACCCCACCAATAATCAGAGGACTGAAAATTAGAACACTGAGATACCAATTTACATATATCCAGTTTAAAAATCACTTAATACCAGTATTTGCAAGATGGGGTGGGAAATTGGTACTCACATACCATCCTAGGTCAGTCAACTGGTATAACAACTTAGAAGAACAATTTCATAATACCAAACAAATCTGAAGATGAAAACACATCCTACAACTCAACAATTCTACTTCTATGTGACATATTCAACAATATTCATTGCAGATCTGATTTCAAGAGTGGATAAGTCATATATTTAATGACATCAACTTGTAAAAGAATATAGACAGCATGACATTGTGTATCTTGAAACAATACTGGTAATCTTAATACATACTAAATGTAAATTTCTGTATTAAAATATATCCCATAAGTTTTAAAAGAAAGAATCTTAATTACATCATTGAATTTTTTAACTAACATAGTTTTTCTTTGAATAACTCAAGGCAATTATAGTACTATCCCAGGATGATACAAATTTAATCTTGCAATTGAGAATGACCCTGTAGAAGTAACAGGGGGAGGATAGTAATGGGGTAATAAAATGCTTTCTATAATACATAAATCAAGACTACAAGAAAATTTAGAAGCTTATTTGACTATTCACTTTTAAGTCATACTTTTGCTGAGCAATGACAATCACTTTATCAAATGAAAACTATCCACAAAGACATGTACTGAAAATTTTTTTTTAATTATACTGAAGATGTCTGTATCCTTGGCAAGTCAAACTAGGCAAGGGACATAAAAAAATGAAAAAAGTTTCAACAATTTTATTTATATTCTATTCGATAACTATGTAGATCAAAATAATAAATGGCTTTTAGAAAAATATCATTGTTTTTAAAATCCCAAAAAGGAAAAGGAGATTATATGTCTTTTGGCAAAATGTTCACTTAAATATGTGATGATTCTAGCAAAAAAGAAGACATGAAAATAAAACTTTTAAAATGTTAGTTTCATTGTAGCATAGATCAAAGAAACATATTTAGTTCTGGAGTAGTTTTAGGCAGAAAATTCAAAGAAAATTTAACAAAGGAAATATTTCAATATATTCCCATACAAATCAGAAGGGTTACTGAATTTAATCTCAACAAAATGCAAGGAAACAAATTATATAACTGATGCATCCCAACATTTACACAAACATTTAATTGTAGGTAGACCCACATAAGTAGATATACAAACACACACAAACATAAAAGAAAATGATTTAGATGAGCTTGCAGTATGCATGTAGGGGATTTTATCACCACCACTATCAAACTTAATAGCTACTAAGGGCTAGAAAGGAAATGAGCCCATTTATAAATATGTATACACACAAATATAAAGTAACTAACATTACATAAATCGGGGTGTGTAGATGAGCTGGAGTTTCTTGGAAGAAGGGAGGTATGCTTTGCTGTTATCGTCACTGCCGTTGCAATAAGTAAATGCTAAGAGTTATACTCCAAGGACTAAGAGATCCATGTGAAGACTTATCTCCCCATCGTCCCCACCTCTGCTTTTTTGAGATAGAGCAATTTACTCTGAATTTTAAAACATCCAGATGAAAATAAAAGCAATCATCTAGATATGTGATCTACAAGATACCAGTCAGAGATGAGAAAACAACTCTCAATTAAGAGAAAAGATTGGCTCAAGATGACAGAAGGAGCAGAGTTCCAGCCTCAG